CAGCCACTCTCATTTCTTACCAATTAGAGCCATATAGCAAATTGTCACTCAAGGGACATTCTTCTCTGAGCCAATCAGGGAACCCAGAAGCCAAACCATAACCTTGTTTCAGCCCGGCAAGCCCCCCCCCCCCACAGAATTGCCCCAAGCCACAGGTTCATTCCTCAGGTCTGGCACACAAATTCCACCACCATGCACCTTCCTAGCTCAGAGCCATGCAAGGTACAGCCTTGCGGGGGCAGCGCTCCAGGCTCACAGTACCTTGACAGCTCAGGGAAGGCTCGGACTGAGTTTTGGTCAGAAGAACTGGAAAAAGCAGGCAATGAGGAAGTGAGGACCAGCTCTGAGATCTGCAGCAGCCCCTGCCCAAGCCTTGGCCCCTCCATACACCTCAGATGGGGGTTGTGGGTGCCCGTGGCAGTGAGAAGGCTACAATCAGAGCCGCCTGCCTCGCTGTGTGACCGCCCAAGGCCCTTCAGCTGTGCCGCCTGCTGAGCCCCACTGTGGAAGCAGGTGGCAGCAGAGCCTTAGGCTTTTTAAGCTGCCACCATCAGGGATTCCAGAGGAGGGCAGGCTCTGCTCAGCAATGTCTCCCGCCCTCCAGCTGCCTTCCCCTGCTCTCCAGCAGCTGCAGGGCATGGCACCCCAGCAGCTGCAAAGAGAAAAGGATCCTCAGGGACATCCTCTGTGTGATTCTCTCTTCTCAAACATTTGACAGTCAGTAGGATTGGATGAAGGCATTTTGCAGGGATGGTCAACAAAAATGTCCCAACTGGCATGGCCACAGGCGTGGTCCAGATTAAAGAATGCTGGCCAAGGGACCGGAGCAGGTCCCCCAAGTGGGGAGGCTGATGCGGCCCAGTGGTGGGGAGGGCCGGAATGCCCAAGGCAGTGGGAACGGGACCTGGGGGCTAGGGAGCAGATAGTTCCCACCAGGGGCAGGAGTACTTCTAAATCTGAGCAGCCAAGTTGGTTGCGCCAGTGTGTGCTGGTGCTCTGCCCTGAGTGTGGATAAGAGCTGTGCACATCCCTGGCTCAGGGGCAGGCGGTTTTCCCTCTGAACGCATCAGCTCTCATGTTCCAGATGACTGTGGGCTCACCTGGGTCCTGTCCTTAGCAGAGAGGCAGGTGCTGTATGACCTCTCCCAGGTGGTGGATTCCACAACCACCTTTCAAGATACATACAAGTGCTGAGACAGAGTGGAAATACTCATTTGGGTGAGCCTTTTTCTTTCAGACATCTAAATGCCTCTCTTTTTTTCCCTTTCTGTCTTACCAAATGAAGCTCTGTTTCCAAAGAGTCAAGCAGACCCAATGTATACAGGGCTAATAGAACCAGACAGACACACCCGCAGCAACCAGGCCCGTGCAGTAGAAGCTGAGAGTATTTCTGTCTGTGCTTTAAGAGAACACTAGATAAAACACAAGAAGCATTATTCTCAAATGTCAGAGCACTTTTTTTTTTTGAAGGAATAAACAGTCCATGCATGTAATGCTCAATTGAGCTAAAAACCCTCTCTGAATATCCAATAAGACCCAGGGCTCAGAATCCCCAAGGGAGGGGAGCTGATGTGGGCAGAGAAGACAGACTGGACGGGGTTCCACTATGATCATTGATTTCATCATAAATTTGGTAGTAAAACATACATTTTTCATTGGAAGAAATTAGGAGAAAAAAGCTATAGAAAAACATGAAAAACTTCAATTAGTGTATATTTTTAAAGCCCAACCTATTCAATATTTGGAAGTAAAACAGAAGCAACAGATATCAAACGACACTCATTAAACAGAAACTTTTACGAAGCCATTTAAATAATTCTAAGGTCAAAAAATAAAAATTTTTTTCATCTGACAGTTGTTTAAATATACGGCTAGTGTTTTGTATCAATCATAAAAACGTGTTGATGCAATCCATGGGTCTCTGTCTGAGCCCCAGCCTCTGGGGCTGCACTCTCACCAGGGGCTCTACTGTGGTGTCATGTAAGTACCAAATTCACACCATGAGTAAGTGTCTCCAGCAAGATGGCAGCAAAGCTCAGGCTGCTGCTAACATTATCTTAAGGGATTGATTTCATGAACTCTAAAGTGTTCAGTTGGAGAGGCAGCTAAATGCATATTTGCCACCGGTTTTTGGATATAAACAATGTTTAAAACCCAGGGGCAGATAATGGCAACTGAAAAGGAAAATCAAGAGATTATAATATACATTTTTGAGCAGTTATTTTAGAACATAAGCTCTAGTCTCCTTGCCTTTTCCCTCCCTTTCACTTATCTCCAAAGCTCACAAGGAGACAGAGGGTAAAAGATGTGTCTGGGACTGGGAGGAGCGAGGCACAGTTATAACAGAGGGGAATGAAAACGAGCCAGATTTCTTCTTTGCTTAGTTCAAGACTGGTTTGGACAAACTTTGAGTTGCCTGAAAATTCATGTACCTTTCCCTACTGGTGCTCCAGAGAGCTGAGAGCAGAGATAAAAGGCTAGCTGTGCATGCTTCGCGTCTGTGTCACCAGGGGGTCAGTTGCATAAGATGCAACATTGTCTCACCTCTTCTGTTGTCCCATGCATACAGTTCCTTTATCCCCAACTCATTCAGGGACTTGGACAGCTCCAGTTCCTCCCCATCAATGTTGTCCCTCAGGAGAACTATGTGCTCCGGGCTGACCTCACACTTTGCACAAATGACTGGGAGAATGTTCTGGAGAGGCACCTCAGGGCTCACACGAACAACAGCTTTTTGTGTCCGCAGGTAATTCACCACCAAACGTACAGACTTCTGGAAGAATGCATCAGACACAAAGAATTCCATAAGTACATCTTCCCACAACAGCTTCAACTTCTGTTTTAATTCTAGATATGAGGGTGGCAAGATTTTGTGTGGCCCGAATCTTTCTTCCACAAATTCAGTGAGTCATGAGAGAAAACAGGATAATGAATAGAGAAAAATAAATGTCTGGAATCACAAACTCATCTTAGAATCTCTCTTGCTAATGAACAAGCTGCTAACAACATAATGAAACTGACATCAGTGAGGGCTCTAAATTTAAAACCCAGTGCACCGTACTGTCTTTTGAGAATTTTGACCAGATGTGAACACAAGGCACTTAAATACATTTTCTAGAGAAAAATAATTTGAAAGTAGTATAAATAATTTAATTTAAAGAAAAACTCTTTGTATCTCATGAATATTCATAATAAATAAATAAATAAATAAATAAATAAATATTGTTAAACTGAA